AGTTACTCATTACGGCTCAGCCAATCAGGAATTTGCGGACGCCAGCGTCCGCAGAAATGAATAAGAGGGGGTTTTTATTGCAGGTGTCCCTTCCCCTCTCTCCCCCCCCCTCCCTCCCTTTTTCCCTTTTTCCCTATCCCCTACCCCTTTCGACGCCTGCTACGCAGGCTACCCATACAACAGGGACACCCAACGAGGATATAGTTCAAAACCACTTAACATAGCATTGTTGAACGTATTTTAGTATTTAAACGGTAGATATAGGCATATTTTTATCCCCTAAAAACTTTTCATCTGTTCGGATTTCCTAGCTGAAAGTCTAGTGATCCGAAAATTATAGAGATCAAAACTTACCTTTTCGAAAATTTCAGCCAGGAAAAGGCTCCTGAAAATTCTAGGTGGCCTTTTTTAGGGTAAATATCCTATATTAAAATGGGTAATTATACCATTTTGTAGATGTTCGAAAATCCTAGGAGAGGCAGGCAAGCAAGAAATCTTACAGCAAATGTTCCGAAAATTCTAGTTCTCAAATCGTCTTCCGAACAGATATTTTCCCGAAAATTGCCGTCGGGTGCCCCTGATACAAATCCTTATATTTTGAATGTTACGCAACAATGCCGATGCTCGCCGAGGCTCATATTTCGAGCTTGGGCTACCTGTGGAGAGCGTAGTTAGCTGACTTTGATGTTTTCAGATCGCGGCTATCAGATCTAATTACACGGGTCAACTGTCGCCGCCTTTTCTCGCGTGGGGTGATTATCACGCGCTCTCGCGTTTCGCTCGCTCTACTATCCCTTAGGAAAAATAGGGACTACTCGTAGTTTACTCACCTTACGGACACTCCGATAATACGAACGGACAGCAGCTAAATCCCTAGGCTCAGTCTCTAGCCTTGGGTGTCTCGATGCGCCGACACCCAAGGTTGGAGACTGAGCGTACTGAATCCCAAGCAAAAATAGATTACAGATGTTAGACTGAAATAAACTCCCGCTGTTACGGACTCTCGCTGATGAACTCAAGGTCCCACAGTGTGCGCTATAAAGGGAGTTGACTGTAGTTGTCAGTGAAGATTATTTACCCCAGTCATTAGTTAATGTTTTCAATTTTGACCGATATTGATTTAAAGGAGTTAGGCGCTAAGCTTTTATTTCTGAATCGATCGTCTTTTGAATAGTGATGTAAAAAGGTTGTAGCAAAAAGTCACGGTTTCACTTAGCCTGCGTAGCACACGTCGAAAGAGCGCCACACAGTATATAAACAACTCAGGCAAAAACGAGGAGTACTGAAATAAAATCCCGTGGCTTGCGTCTCTCCTCGTCCCACGCCGCAGGGACGTATTGAGCACTTGAGCATTATCTTTTTTTAAAAAAAATCAGGTTATTGCTAAACATAAATAATGATAATTTGCCATTCCCTTCTTCATAGAAAGAAAGCTATTAAGCCCAACCCTCTTGCAAGCCTCCCTTCTCCTAATGTTTCTTTTTCGTACACCACTGAAATAACAGACTCGTACCCAGTCGCTATTAATGTGTTTTTGGGGTGAGAGAAGATTGGGTTAGTTTGAGGCGCGCGGGAATTCATGGGAGGGGACGAAGGAAAAATACTAATCTTCTCTTACCCAAAAAACACATAAATAACGACTGGGTACGAGCCTGCTCAAATAATAGATAAATGCAAAACATGAGAGCTCTCTACATTTTATTTTAAAATTCTGAAAGAACGATAAACAACAAGGGAAAATTACTGTGAGTGATATAAGCACCAATTTTCATAGACTTGCTACAAGTCGACCTCTTGGCGAGCAGAGAGAGCCTTGTTTGGCCGCGAAGATGAATCCGACGAAGGACTTTTTTGAAAGTCTACAATTTTCACCACATCTCTCTGCTTGCAGTAGTTGATTTACAATAATTTTTTCCGAAAAAACTCTGGAATAAGTTCAGTTGTCGATGTTCTTATCATTCCATGTCAGATGAAAAGTGTATTTTAGCAATTAATGGTTTAGGTGTTGTGGCACCGGCTACTACAATCTCTTGACCGTCAACAAGTCCAATATCTAAAAGGATTGATAACAAAGGTGCAAGGAAAATAAATACAGTGTAAATTCTTTGAAAAACCACCTCCCCTTAGTATACAACCCACCCCTCCCCTAACATATGCCCGCGCGGAGATACAAAATTCAGTCTTTTCGAGTGTTGTCAACACAAGAGAAATGTCGTGGCTCAAAGCGGTCATGTAACGCTCTATTTACTACATAAACACTAATAAAATGCTAAACCATTTCACTTTAACAGATTATTCCTGTGAAAGGTAGACTACGAGTACTCCCCATTTTTCCTCAGGGATAGTACTGAGCGAGCGCGCCTTTCTCGCGAGAGGTGATTTTCACGCGCACTCGAGCTTCGCTCTCTCTAATATCCCTGAGGAAAAATGGGGACTACTCCTAGTCTATGTGAAAGGCGTGATTTATTATGTAGCCGTAGCAACGGTGATCTGTTCACATGTGAAGATACCATGATTTCGAGCGAAAACTCACCTTGTAATTCATTAGACTAGTTGTTATACAACAGAAGAAATTTCTCTTCTGTGTTGAAAAATATTCTACTCGTTTGCTGCTCTCACTGGAGAAATATGTTTCAACACTCGAAGAGAAATTTCGTATCCATTCGGCCATGTAGTATATATCACACGCATCAGTTAAAGGACAAAATTATTGAACGCAGATTGGCTGAGAGAGGAGAAAATATTTTGGTTATCAAGGGAGGGCCTGGTGTGATTTCCTCTATAAACTTTTATCTTATAGTAACAAACAAGAATTAAACGAGTCCTCATTCAATTAAGGATTAACTACACAGTGTTTTTAAATTACCCTTGTCGCTGGAAAACTTCGAAAACGCTCGTTTCATTGGTTCTTAATTGGTCAGCCTCGGGTTATACATGTTATAGTAGGAATCTCTACAGATGACCACCTCTTATGTGCAACACAGCCATTTTAGGTGCTTATAACAGTTATAAAAATGTAGAAAATAGTAATGATTATATTTGGTTTTATTAAGCAATAGTTGGTTGGCATATTTATAATGTTCACCCAACCTATATTCTCCTTTGAGTATGCTAAATCCTCTGCAAAAAATATTAGAGTAGCCTCCGAAAACATCCGTTTCTCCTTCGCAGGCTAAACCTGTGATGGAATAATCATTCTTTTGGCAAACTCCTTCCGGGAACACAGGGCAGATTAATTTCTAGTCGCATCCAATATGCATAAACTGGTACAGTACATTTCAATCTCTTGGGTAGATTCTCTCTATAGACTTCACAGTCTAAAAGACAGTTTGGGAAAAGGTACATTTAAAAAGGAGTTGTTTCTCTTTTAATGTGGACAAAAAGGGTACCTAAACAAGGGAAGTGCGCAAGATTATGGAACCACACTGTGTGTGCTACAGACTGGTAAACCCCATCATCACTACATGGAATGAGCAGCTAAAAATATACGGTCTCATTGTTCCGCTCGCTCTCCGCGTGCTGGAGAAAAATTTTGAGCTCGACCCGTGGGCAAGTCATAGATACATCCTTTTTATCGTTCAGTAGATTCCAGCGTTTGAGGACCTTTGAAGATGTTTCTCCGTAGCAAGATGGGAGAGAGTACAATAAAAGTAAGCTGAATAGCTTCGTATCCGTCAAAATGCGTTGAGTGCTCTTTGAAAAAGCAATTCTAGAGTCATTTTCGGACGTTTTATGATTGGCTGATCTGGGCACGTTTAATTGGTTGATAGTAATCTTGTATCCAGATCTCACACTGTCTTGAACTTTCCCGTGGCCTTGAGGGATCTGGGTACGAAATTAGGGAGAGCCGTCAGGAAAATCGGCAGTTAGTCAAAGGGATAATTGACATGTAGGTCAGCAAACGGCAGCCGGAATAACGCCAGTCTTCGCAACCCAAAGATCAAAATCGTTCACAAGCTATTATTACAAGGTTTCAAAAGAATTATTTTGGGTCTTCCGTGACTTCTTCTTTGGAAGGAAAGGGTCTATATGATTTTTGATGTCTATGCAATTGGAGTGTAATTGTAGTATTACGCTTTCAGAAACCAAGAGAACTTACTTTCGGGGAAGAAGGTTACCGCCGAAAAAGCTCATGTTTCTTCGGACGAACCTCAAACCTGCGCTTTCTTTTTCAAATGTGGGTAGTATGTGGCGGCGTCGTGGTCTGTAGCACGGGGAAACATGTTGGATAAAACTGAACGAAAAGTTTGAACACGGTCAAACCTGATCCGAAACATCCTACGCTGCCCAAAAAAGTGCTCAAACGGGTCCCAACAATGCTATGTTGGATCATTTTCGGTCATTTCAAATAGGGCTTTTCATACGCTAACCCCCTCCACCCCCCCCCCGAAAAAAAAGAAATTGTACCCTCCCAAATAAAGAACGAAACGCAGAACGCTAGCCCCGATGTGAATTTCATCCGTACTCGAGTTGCTCACTCCCGAGAAACATGTCTCTCACGGGAGTGTGCGACTCGAGGGGACAGCTCACGGCTGAAATTCAGGCTGACAGAACGCTTCCCGTATTCAGTGAAATCCCGATTTTTCTAACCAAATCAGTTCGAATGAACTAGAAGTTTGAAAAATCGGAGATTGAATTACAATGTTTGAATGGTGAAGAAAAGTTACATTAGGTTCGGAATTTTTCAGGAATTTCGAGGGTACGAGTATTTTTAAACAGGCATTTTAAAAAAATACAGGATTTGGAACTGAAACATAAATGTATTCTTTCAGGCACAGAAATTAACTCTTTTCCACATTGGACATGCCCCTTTAAAATTAATGATAAGACTTGCACACAAAAAAAGAAAAAAGGATTCATCTGGAGGCAATCACGTGGTTTATTGTTAACATTACCTTATGCTGCCCACCACACCTTGCTTACTGCTTTAACTGTTTTTAAAGAGCTGAGAATGAGAGTTTATGAAATTACTGTTTATTACTTTTATTTCACGAGGGGCTTCACTTGGTGCACACAGCGCATGTCAACTCTCGACCTTCAACGTAAGGAAGACACGGTAGCGAGCCGCATCTACCCTCCACAGGGTACAGCAAAGCACCATTTCTGTTTGCTTGGCTACCAGGAACATATTCTGGGTCTCCATAAAGGCAGATAAAATCTCTTGAATGGTAATGACTGGCATATTCAGTCATCAGGTACCCATGATATTCTTCGGTCCATCCAGACGGACAGTCATTCCTGGCGGGCATCATTAGCATTGAGCCACGCGACTTGACAAAGCAGACAACACAGGGAGCTTCATAGTTGTGGATATTTCTTTTGAAAACAGTGCCAACGAACGAACTTACTTGATATTCAGTGCCGTACATATATCCCCCACCCTGGACGCCATTTCTGTATCTGTCATACTTTGGATTATGTGGAAGGCAAAGGTAGTTTGTACCACCTCCATATAGTGATTATAATGCTCTCCACCCATTATACCTGTATGGAGCGAACGGAGAATAATCATGTAAGCTCATTTAGCCACATTATTATGAGTTGTTCTCGCTATCTGTCTTTCACTGGCTAAGGGCATACAGTAGATTTTGGAAATCCGCGCAAACGATAGATTAATTAGTTATCTGATAGTAATGTATGAGTTCCAAGAGCGATGTTAAACTGTGTTCCGTTCGACGATGTGTTTGTAATTTTGTTTGTTTGTTTGTTTTTTTCCACCTCGACCTGGATTACTGATTCCGGAGATTACACTATCACAAACACCTCATACAATAATTTTTGTTATAAAGGTTTTTGAGAAAAATGTTCCAGTGCTCTTATCTGCAGCTTAGGTATCAGCATCACACATTGATCTATCACCAGATGCTTGAATTATTGGGAATAGGAACTTGTTTACGGGTATCGCTTTCAAATTTTTCAAGGTTATGTCCTTAGCACTAAGTGCGTTTTTTTGTTTGTTTACCTTTATAGACTATCTGTGCCCCGCTAGGACATGTGGTCCTTCCCCAGCGCACATACTTCACCCCTGAACTGCCAGACCCGTCCTGTCCCCTTTGCCCTTTAGGTCCTTGAAGTCCTTTGGCTCCAGTCTTTCCAACAGGTCCTTGATCCCCCTTAGGACCTGGAGGGCCTGGAAATGGCTTGTTGGTGCCAGGTTT